GGGCTATACCCTTACTGCACGTTAACCCGACAGGCTTAGCCCTTCTCTAGCACGTCTGCGGAGATCAGCTGGAGGAGCTGAGGCCTGTGGCCTGCGTGGGGCTTTCACTTTGCGTCTGCCAGTTGCCTAATTGAATCATAATTCGTCTTCCTTCGTGTTCCTGTGAATGGGGTGTGTTTGGGGACCCCGGCTGTAACGGGAACGGCATTAATATTCTGGCGAATCAGGACAGGGGTGATTCACACTGCTGAATGATCCACACCGCTGTACCCTTAATGGAGATCGGATCGGAATTAGCGGGTCACTTGCCGAGCCTGTCCCACAGTGCCTTTAATTCAGCTAATGGCATTAGCATATGGCTACGGCATATGGGGCCTCTTAGCGGAATGAAGCTTGCATCATGCCACACTCGCATCCCCCAGCTCAGCTGCCTTTAGCTGCAGCATGTCTGACAAATGGCAGCGGCAGACAAACCGAAGCTTGTTTATTTAAATCAGGGCTTGGCGTCAGCTGGCAGGATCCTTGGAGGATCGTGTTTACCGCCAAAGGGAACCCCCCCCCCGCCCCCCGCCTGTGTTTGGATACCTAGGGCTAGTCTGACATTTGAGCTCCTGCTGCAGTTTGCTGTTTTTGCTGCACACTGTGTGATACCAAGCTGAGGCAAGCAGGGCTGTTTCAGCTGGAGCCTGCGTGGTTCCACCCCGAGCCAGCAGGTGGCGTGATGCTTAAGGACGTGGGAATCTGAGTCTGTGATTGCGGCTACTGGGGTCTCGGTCTCTCGGTCCCCCCCTAGTTTACCTGTTTGTGTGTCATTTATGCTGGTAAATTCGTAGCAGAGGGTGATTACCCAGCCCTTTTGTTTATTCTCGGTGGGGGTGGAGATCACGGCCTCCCGCCACCCCTGGCATTTCCCCGAAGATCTGATTAGGATGCGTCCCTCAGGTCCCTCGCCGAGATAAATCGGGAGAGCGGCGTGCTGGGGGCTGTGTCCCGGGTTTCACCATCTGTACGCCCCCCGCAGGTCGCTTTCATGTGCTGCACCACTCCGGCTGTTACCGGTACAGCGCGGCACACGGAGGTGCGCGGCGTAACCCCTTTGAAGATGGTTCCGGGCTCGGCGTGCGCTGCCTTCTCCTGTCGCCAGGCTGTCAGCGCCGCAGTTTATGATTGTGCTCCAGGTTCAGCCGTCTCCGAGACGTGTGACATTCCGCTGGTGGGAGGGGCTAATGTGCAGCCGCTGGTGATCAACATGCCCGCTCTACGGAAAAGTTTGGCCTGAATGATCAGCCCCCCCAGCTGTACCCTGTCCCCGCTGTCTGTTGATGCTCCCATGGCAACACGACCCTCCTCCTCCCCCCCACAGGATGTAGGGGCCGTCGTGGATGTTTGCTGTTGACAGGGACTCCCCCCGGTGTACTTATATTAGTGCTGTTTCTGACAATGAAATATTTATTTTTGTTTGCCCAAGCTCCCTATAATGCTCAGTAGGGCCAGTCCCTGGGGGCCCCTGCATTCCAGTCTGCCATGAGGCATGCATCTGAACAAGGGCGGGGGGGCATACAGAAATGTCCTCTTGTCTGTTTGCTTTTGGAAAAACTCAGTTGTAACCTTTTGTTTTAAAAATTCTGGATATAATTCAGTTTTATGTGTTTGCATTACATTATTTCCAGGCAATTTTTTTTTCGTTTGTTCATCACTGCATTCTTAATGATGAACAGCGGTGCCCCCTCCATTTCTGCAGTTCATGCAGTCTGCACCATGTGACACTCTAATGGGGGGGGGGGGCACGGGGGGTCCTGTAATGAGAGTCTGAGATCAGCAGTTACCTTCCTTATGGGAAATGGATACGATTGGTTCAGCCCCCGCAGGACTTACCATGGATGGTGGCCGGAGCGTTATGGGGGTGGGGGTAGTGGTGCTTTGGGCAGGGGCCACTGGCAGCAGACTGGCCTGCCTGCTGTCCCACGCCCCTCAGAGCGGAAGGCACTGTTTTTTCCTGGTGACGTCATTGTTTCCTCGGAAGGGAGGTGGGCGGGGCTTAGCCAGGCATTACAATGGAGCCACCCTCGTCAGTCAAGCTTGCTAACGCTTCCTTCCTCTCTCTTCCCTGACCCTTTGAACCCTCCACCGCAGCTTCCGAAACTTTGACCTGGCTGAGTCCGGGAAATGCTCGGGCGACTGGCTGCTGCTGGGCCCCACGTGGAGGGAGGGGTACCGCATGTGCGGGGCTCTGCTGCCCCCGCCCTTCATCTCCACCCGTGGCCGCGTCTGGCTCTCCTTCCATTCCCAGGCCAACAGCTCGGGCCAGGCTCAGGGCTTCCGCCTCTCATACATCCGCGGTGAGTCGCCGTCGCCGCCCTGCTGGGGGGAACCTGCCTCTCCTTACATGTCTGATAGAGCAGGACGTGGCTCGGCCTGACTGTCAGTGTCTGCTCTTAGCTCCCGGCATGATGGCCGCTCTGCACACCCACGCCTTTGCCCCCCAGTCCTGGAGCACAACGCTGATTTACTGACAGGCCACGTTTTCATCATGGCCCCTGCGGACCTGCTGTCGAGCAGAATTACAGCTGTAGGGATGAGATACGTTTTAAACACATTTAGAATCTTGGAAATGTTATATAAATACAGGACATGGTGTCATTACCGCTGGAAAGGGACCCGTAACCCTAGTGAAGTTAGACTTAATTCTTTGACAGATTTTACTCACATTCAACGCACAATATGATCATTATATATGGTTTTACTAACCAAATGCTATTAGTTTAAATAAAAAAAAAATACCAGAATTCATTTCAGATTATAAAATCAGAATTATTATGCCAAAATGAAGTTATTCCCGCTTATTACCGCGAGAAACAGTCGCTGGTGATTGATCAGCATTCCCACCAAAACCAGTCTGTGGTAGAGGGATGTGCGTCTCATCCTGTTAGGGGTCTGGGGGATGGAGGTGAAATTCTGGCGCTGCTAATGAAACGCCTCACAAAAACCAGGGGAGGGATTGAAGTTGACAGCCTCACCTGCCACACACACACACACACACACACACACACACACACACAGTGTGGCCTGATACCCGCTGTGTCATTGGTAGCAAATTGAATTAAACTGCTTCTACGGCATATACATGGCAGCCGGCATGTGTGACCGCCTGCTCCGGCCAAGGTGATCCCTACTGCGAGCTCTTTTATCATTTCTTTTTTTTTTTTTGTTCCCGTGGCGACTTAGAGGACATGTGCCAGGTGCTGTCAGCACCTGGGGGGCAATAACCAGATGGCCGTCCCATGTATGTGTCAGAGCCAATCCTCATTCAGCTCTCAGATAAATAATGGTCAAACTGTTTGCTTTCATTGATCTGTTGGCTGAAGCCTTCAGCACAGTTTAAAATCACATTTAACACGCAAAGGTCAGCAGAGTTCTATCTGTGGTCATAATGGTTGTAGCTATAGTATTTATTAAATTCAGTATCCCAATTAAAACTTTCTCTGTTGCAGTTTTTCACTGGTATCTCAAGATTACCGAAGTGCTGCTTAATTAGCGCATTTGTACGCTGAATCGTTCAGTTGCCGGTGGGAGCTTTAGCCCTGCGAGGATTAGGGTTTGATCTGCCTGCTCCTGAGATCGGCAGAGCTAACAGAAAGGTGACAGTGCTGTGAGCAGCAGAGCAGAGAGGCTGGCTAAGCCTCCACATGGCAAATGAGGCCCCAGGTCTCTGCTGGGGAAAGTGTCAGCCCTCTCATGTCAGGATCTGTCAGCGAAAGGGGAAAAGCCTCCCACCGCACCCCCATCCAGTGCCTTGAAATATTATCACTGTGGAGAAGCAGTTTGGCGAAATGAGTTCTGTTTTGTGTGTGTGATGCTTGAATCAGGGCGTGTGTGTGTGTGTGTGTGTGTGTGTGTGTGCTTGTGTGTGTGTGCGTGCGTGCGTGCACACGTGTGTGTATGCATATGTGTGTGTGTGCGCATATGTGTGTGTGCGCATGTCTGCGTGCATGTGCACGCGCGTGCATGTGTGTGCGTGCGCATGTGCATGTGCGTGTGTACGTGTGTGTGGCTGAGTTCTCCTCTCACTCTCCGCAGGTAAGTTAGGACAGAGCAGTTGCCAGGGCGACGAGTTCCTGTGTGCCAATGGGAAGTGCCTCCCCCGGGCCTGGAAGTGCAACGGGCTGGACGAGTGTGGTGACGGCTCGGACGAGCGGGCCTGCGCACCCCCGCCCACCGAGGCCCGGCCCAGCCTGTGCCCCCCCGGCACCGTGCCGTGCCCCCAGGGCCAGTCTGTGCGCTGCCTGCCCGAGACGCGGCTCTGCGACGGCTCCCGCGACTGTGCCGACGGCACCGACGAGGCCCACTGTCCCGACACGGCCTGCGGCAGGCGCCTGGGCAACTTCTACGGCTCGTTCGCCTCGCCCGACTTCTTCCGGCCCGAGCGGGGCTCCCCCGAGCTGCGCTGTGCCTGGCTGGTGGACACACAGGACCCCAAGCGCATCGTGCTGCAGCTGGACCTGCGGCTGGGCGCCGGCGACTCTGTGCGCGTCTACGACGGGCTGGGCGAGCGCGCCGACCGCCTGCTGCAGAGCCTGTCCTCTTCTGACAACCGCCGGCCCGCCATCGTGGAGTCGAGCCGCGGTCAGCTGACCGTGCTGTACCACGCCGCCCCCTACAGCTCGGGCCACGGCTTCAACGCCACCTACCAGGTGAAGGGCTACTGCTTCCCCGGCGAACGGCCCTGTGGTGCCGACCAGGGCTGCTTCTCGGAGCACCAGCGTTGCGACGGCTACTGGCACTGCCCGTCGGGCCGCGACGAGGAGGGCTGCCCCGCATGCCAGGCCGGCGAGTACCCCTGCGAGGGCGCCGGCGGGGCCTGCTACCCCGCCACTGAGCGCTGCAACAACCAGAAGAAGTGTCCCGACGGCTCAGACGAGAAGAACTGCTTCAACTGCCAGCCAGGCAACTTCCACTGCGGCACCAACCTGTGCATCCTGGAGACGTGGCGCTGCGACGGGCAGGAGGACTGCCAGGACGGCAGCGACGAGCGGGACTGCCTGGTGGCCGTGCCCCGCAAGGTGATCACGGCGGCGCTCATCGGCAGCCTGGTGTGCGGCCTGCTGCTCGTCATCGCGCTCGGCTGCGCCTTCAAGCTGTACTCCCTGCGCACGCGTGAGTACAGGTGCGTCCGGCCGCCACCCGCCGAGACACGCGCACGGCGCGGACGCTGGGTCTCGCTGGCGAGCATGGGGGGGGGGGCGCGGCTTTGATCAGTATCTGCAGACCCTTCACCCCTCCCATCGCAGTGGTCGATTGTACCTAGTTTCCATGGCAACCGCTGATTTTCCCGTAATCTGTGCTGTCCTGTTACCCAGGTCCGCATCGCTAATTTAATTTTTATCCCAGCAGCCTCATTATACGTTATATTTGTTTTGGGTGTATTTAAAGTGATCCTATCGGAGCGTATGGGAATTGTACTGACGTCCTTTAAACCATTCGGACCTGCTTTCTCTGCATCCCTCTCTATCTGTCACCTCTCTCCTCCCACCCATCTTTGAGTGGGGAGGGGGGGGGTGATGCTTTCCCCCTAACAATGGCACTTCCATCGGTGTTTTGAGGAGGCACACGCCACACTGTGGGGGAGGGAGATAAATATAGCCACTTTGCTGCTCACTCTGTGACCTGGCTAATTGGCCCGAGCTGTGGGGGCCTGTTATCTGTTCTGACTCATATTGATCTGGTCTCTGGGAAGTTGGGACGGGAAGCAGAGAGGGGTGGCTGTGAGCGTCCGGCCCCCGTGAGCCCTGGGTGGATGGTCATGGAGTTTGGCGTGTCCACACCCGTCCCCCGCTTCAGACCTCTCTCTGAGTGTCTCCATTTTTCAGCTCTTTCTGAAAACGTCGCATCCCCATCTTCTGTAGTGCTGTAATAAGAGCATATGAGAGTTTTTGCAGGTCCATCCGTATTGATCTCCATCGAAACGGCCACAGCATTATCTGCCAGCATTCCCCTCTCATAGTGCTCCTCCGTTCACACAGGGCGTTCGAAACCCAGATGACCCGATTGGAGGCGGAGTTTGTCAGGAGGGAAGCTCCACCCTCCTATGGTCAGCTGATCGCTCAAGGTCTCATCCCACCAGTGGAGGACTTTCCCGTCTACAATCCCTCTCAGGTAATAATGTTCCTGAGGCTGCCTAGTATTGCTCTGCAGTGGACGTTGACGGCGTTAATACATATTTAAATGTATCCAGCGCAGAAGCACAATATACTTGAAGACTAGTGGTGCTTATCTACTGCCACCAAAAACAGAGCCGTACTGTGAAGAGACAGTTTTACATTGCGAAATTTGCAAGCCGTACCCGAGCCATACTCACACTGACTTGGCAGTGATAAATAGCTGAGCCGAAAACATGACTAAGCCAAGCTGGTTGTGTCACCACCATCTGATTGGTCGAAATGAGATACTGCTGTTCCGCACATGGATTATCTGAAGGAAAATAGGGCATATTCTATATTTAATTCATTATTAGTAGCATCGCACATTGTGATGTACTGATGCATTCTGGATAACTTTCCAACCGAACGGAATGGATTCATAATGCGAATTTTCACAAGTGACTGCTGATTCTGCTAGCCTTTGATGCTAACACAACACGATGATTGTCACAGACATATTAACAGAAACTAGCGCATAGTAAATCATGATGGACGCTGTGTGTGAACAGTAAATAAGCGTCTCTTCGGTCTTACATCACTGTCGCTCTCCAAATCCATCACCACCTTTACTGAACTGACCCTTGTGCAGTGGAAAACCAAAGTGAGCTGGAACTGCACTGTCACTGGCGTCTCTTCACAGTACAGCTCAGCACCTGTATGCCAGTAGGCCATAACTGAGGAAGCACAGGGCACAATAAATAAAGTTTTGTGAAAAGGATGTACGCAGTGGGCCATGCATTTACAGGCCTGATTATTGATGTAGGCAAGTCGTATATCTGGTTGTGTTAATTCCCTGCTGTATTTCAGTGAAAGCCTTCCTTCAGGGTCACAGGCGGGAATACTGGGAGGCTTCCGGAGTGTTAAATGTACTGTGGCTGTCTCATCCTGAGGTGCTGTGTGCTTCCCTGTTCACAGTCTATGGTGGAGGGGTTGTTCTTTAGAAGCATTAACCTTCCGCGGATTCATGAGTGCCTCCGTCCGGCCGCGTTCCTAATGTCCGCCCGACTGAGCTCCCAAAGCTGCTCACCTGAGCGTCTCTCTTGTGAGAAATGAGAGTCGGCGAGCTGTTGAAAGGAACAGGCCTCCTCCTCCATGAAAGGAACAGGCCTCCTCCTCCATGAAAGGAACAGGCCTCCTCCTTCATGAAAGGAACAGGCCTCCTCCTCCATGCCGTACTCTTCGGCTTGCTGACGGCTTTTCGTGACGCTGACTGGGGAAATGTAAGGGCGGGTCGTCTTTGAGTCCGTGCTGATTAATCTGGTTTTTTTGCAAAGTGAAGTAGACATGAAAATAGCAGACTCTTTAAAAGAGGCTTTTAGTAAAGTCAAGCCAGTGTTTTTTTTAGATCTTTTGTCAAAAACTGTTCTTAAGCATCTTATTTGATTGTTTAAACTTGGCAATTTTTCTTTCTTATTTATGAAGATTTTTGGGTAAATCAGTCTGTTTTAATATCCATATACTCTCCCCACATATATAACCCTAGTTGCTGGCATGGCAGTAAAAGTGGACATAACATAACATAACATGAAAACAGCGATTCATTATTGAAGGAGAGATCGGATAGTGGTGCAGTGATACGGCAATCTGATTGGTCTGAGCGTGTTATCAGCGGTGACATGTGACCCTCGCCCCCTACAGGCCTCCATGCTGCAGAACATCCGCACGGCCATGCGCAGGCAGATCCGCCGGCACTCGTCTCGCCGCCGCCTGGGACGTCTCTGGAGCCGGCTTTTTCACCGCGGGGCCCGTCCGCGGGGCCACATCCCGCTGCTTACGGCCCCTGGGGCCGCCCGGCCCTCCCTTGGCACCAATGGCAGTGCACTCAGCTACCAAGCAGTGGGCTCTGGGGGAAGGACCGGCATCACTGCGGGCATAGGCTGGGCACCTAACCCCTGCACTTCAGACAACATGAGCCGAGCCCTGCAGGGGGCGACAGAGGACGAGTGCCACCCTCCTGCCAGCTCCCCAGACTCCCCTTTGTCACCGCTCAGCCCTCCATCACCCCCGTCAGCCTCCGACAGTCAGGAGGAGGAGCTGTGTACAAACTCGTCTGCGCAGCTGGAGCAGAGGCGCTCCTACAATGGCTGTCCGGCCCCCAGAATGCCCTGTTCTGCACAGGCGAGCACGGGGGGATCAGGTAGGCGACAGGGGGCGTCATCTGGCAACTCCCACGGCAGCACGCCGGGCAATGCAGGACGCTCCCTGAACCGCAGGGCCTCCCGCAAGCTTGTGCGGGGGCTGGCGGCCAATCTGCGCGGTGTGGCTATGAGACGGTACTCTCCACTCGGCCCGGCCTCTGTCACGGACCCTCCGGCGCCCCCAGGCCAGGTGGAGGGACACAGCCACGCCCCATCGCGGAGCCTGGAGTCCTCAGGGTTGCATGGAGATAGCCGTGCGTGCCTGTCTGTGGTGCCAAAACAGGAGGGGCTCAGCACCTGTGCCGACGGGGGGGGGCTGAGCAGCGATGAAGATGATGAATCTCTCCTCATCTGCTAGGAGACTGCTGATCTCCTCTCTTCTCCTCCTGAGGTTTTTAGGAGGGTTATACAGCCATTGAGCCCCATCCCACGCCCCCCCCGGCACGACCGTACAGAAACACTTGCCAGTTTTTACTTCTGCCGCCCCCCCGCCCTTCCTCATTCTGTCACTGCCCGATCATCACATCAATGACACTGTTCCGGTTGTCTGTCTGAGGTCACATTCTCACATCATATGTTTAACATGCATTGATTAAAACGGCGCGTTAGTTGGCTGTATAATCAGGGGAGACAGTTTCCTGCTTTCATTCCTCCTTTTTCATTTGCTCACTGCTGCCCCCTGCAGCATTGTGAAGGTTTTGCGAACACGTCATTTTCCCCATTCCCCTATACACACACTCTGTATGGTCTTTTGCACCTTGTGGGAGAGTCAGGACGTGGAACCTTGACTTGAATCAGTTTGAATAATTAGCTTGGTAGGTCCTGTGTTTGCTTTTACAGGACGTCCCGCCCTCGTTAAAGGAACAGCACTGAGGGAGGTGTGGCTTGGCGTGTTTACTCTGCATTTACACAAGCTCAGTCACCCTGACACCAGTCCCCTTCTGCACAGAGGACAGAACGTCTTAAAAAGCTGGAGCAGAAGCTGAGGACTCATTATAGAAACATCTCCCCCTACAGGCCTGTGTGTGTGTGTGTGTGTGTGTGTTAGTGGAGACACAGATTGCAGTGTGAAAGAAGCAATAATTTCCTTCACTCGTGAGAGAAACTGTTCCTAGTTGCCCCTTAACTAGTCTCCCTAAACATTGACTAAACTTAATCTTGGCTCCCTAGGATGCCATACCCAGTAACCCCACACAGGGGCGCCGTAAGGGGGAGGAAAGCTAGGACGATTCCAACTCAGGGGCCCTAAAAAATTTGGAAAATAACTGGATTGGTTTGGACTGGGGGGCCTAATATGATATGCTTTCATGGGGCCCAAAATCTCTAGCAACGCCCCTGACCCCACATGACTGACCTGAGATCAGTTGTGGGTCGCTGGTAGCAGGAGCAGCTGGATTTGCATCTCTGGGTTTCACTTCTCCCACAGGATGCCCCTAAACAGCTTGTATACAGCCAGGAAATTAGTGGTGATATTGGAGCGATGGCTGCAGGTTTTTTATTATTTTTTGTAGATTTGCATATCAGTCTTTTACAAGCGATTTTGGATGAAAGGCGGCTAGTTTGCAAAGCAACCTGATTTCGTCCTACAGGAGAGGGGTGCTGTGAGAGCAGGGTGGGGGTTTTGTTCAGTGTATGTGTCTGGGTGTCCGGGGTTTGACCAGGGGGGGCACTGAATGCAGGTCCCCCCCCCAGGCAGAACACAGCAAACTCGCATGGCTGTGTAGTTTATGCAGTACTGTGTAAGGTTTACAGAAACGGAGTCCTTCGTGTTGTGCCTCTGAAATTGATAGGTGTCAATCAGTAAATACGAATTGCCAAGTTAGCCCTATCATGTCCTGGGAAGAATTGCCCCCTCCCCCTCACAGGCTAAAGGTGAAATACAATGTCATTGGTAAAGAGTCACTTATCATGCATTTTGAGCTGTGTCACTCTATATCTAATCATTACAGGAAGCACAGAGTCAGAATCGTCACGGTGGCTTTTCTTAGCATGTGTTCAAAGGGAAGGAGAGCTTAGCCTGTTCCACATTCAGCGAAGAGCTTCTATGTGGCCTTCATGGGACCAGGCACCCCTCTCCTTCTGGGAACCTGCTCCTTTCCGCCTTTTGCCCTGACCCCTTCCAACAAGGACCTCGACCACCTCTTAGGACCACGTTCACCTCAGGTTCTCCGCTCAGTTCCCTTAAATTAAGGGTTGATGAGGCCACCATGCAGGTCTGGAGGTCGGTCTCCGTTTGGCAGCCATAGATCTTCATGGATCAAACATAATCGACATCTAACGAAAACTTTTATGTAGGTCTCAAAATTATTAGGTTCATGTTCATTTGTTTTTACTGTGTTTTAACTTTTAAGAGTGTGGCCGCTGTTAGTACTGTCAATCAGAAATGTGAAGTGCTTTGTGATTCTTGATCACGACTACAATTTCCGGAAGGCATCCAAGGTTAGGATATACCTGCAAGATTAACCACAAACTGAGGTTGGTGAGATATAGGGGTAAAGAATATAGCCCTGGTCCTCCAAGCTCTCTGTTTGGAGATCACAACTGGTTTTACTCTTTGCAAACCCATTTAAACAAAGCTTTGTGAATTATTTACCTGATAAATGTGCTGCAATTGGTCTATGCGGTGAGGTGCCAAATCATCCACAGTCAGAAAGACAGAAACAGAAACATACAGGCTGCCCCCTAGTGGTAAAAGGGAATTACTAATAGGACATGTTTGGTCTATCGTAATATTTTATCACCATCATCATGTCTGTAAATTCTGAATTTACACTCTGCCAACTAATGGTAAAGCTTCTGTTTGGAGCACAATGTCTGACCGGTTCATTCCGCGTATTTTATGATTTGCTACCCTGCTGGAACCTGTGGGCAAAAATAAGCCATTTGTAAAATGTTACCTTATAAATTTAACCTTAAATATTTGTAATATAGAAGAGTGTATGACACAGAATTCACAAAAACAGTGGATGGCCAAATGGGAGAGCGCCTAATCTGTATGACAGTCATGTTTCATTCAGTCGAGTTTTCTTCTATTTCCTGTTTGGGAGGAAGCAGACTCTATCTATCACCTGCTGCAGTGTCATTGTCACATTTCCATTTGGTATGTTGCCCCAACTGGCCTCCTTGTTAGAGTCGCATTACATCACCCCCAGTGTAAACCTGAACATTGCCGCGAGTCACTGTCGTGTCTATTGACAGGGTTACTGTGGCAACGGCGTGCAGACCTGCGATTGTCTCAGTGTTTTTTTTGTGCCTGCGTTTAATAAAGCTTGATTTCACTAACCTCGGCCTGAATGGGGACGTCTAAGGCGATACGTGCTCAGAAATCTCCAGTTAAGAACAAAACTGTTTTTCTTCCATGTCAAATTTATTACACTAGTGTTATTTCTGTTTCTTACACGTGCATGTGTGCCACAAGTGCATAGGCGAACTTTCTAGAAACACGTGACACCACAGGGTCCTGATGCTGCACGAACGCTCTGCAGGATCGAGACGCGCTGGGGGCTGCCACATGACACGAAATCCCTAAACCGCTGTGGGTTGGCAGCGCCGACACGCAGAAAGGCCCAGAAGACACTTTGAATGAGGCAGCGGGCACCTCTGATTTAACATGGGCACTGTGGGCAAATGTATAAAATCATTAAAAGCTGCATCCACGAGGTTGAGCAGCAGAACAAATCCAGCACCTCGGAAGTAACTGTACCAGCCCTTTCAGGCAGGATGAAACGCTGACTGGTAACACTGTTACATAAAGCCTTGATCTTTCTGCACGGGTGAAAGCGGCAGGAGAACAGTCAGCACGATGTGAAGGCTATTAGTTGACATAAGTGCTACTGTTTACCTTTCTAGCAGGAATAAAAGCACCTTGGTGTATTTAGTTTGGTTCAGTTAACCGGCTGTGGTGCCTGGCCATATGGCTAAGTGCTATCCTTCTGGTTTTAGCATCTACAGACACATGAGTTAATAAACATTTCATACAGCACGTTGTGGTTAGTGCACTGTAGTTATACTGCATCTGGGGTTTGTTAAGGCAAAGCTGCTGTGATACTGGCCTTCCCTTGTATGCATTTCTCGTGCGAAATGCTACTCACTGGGTTTGAGAGAGGGAGAGGGACGCTGCACCCCCCCTCCCCCCCCCCCGCTGGGGCACATTGCAGACAGGTCAGGGGATCCGTGTTCCACAGCGTGATGCAGGAAGTGCTTGGAGGAGGAGGAGGACGAGCATAATGGACGCAGTCACAATCACCAAGACGGTGTGTCAATACAGACAGCGAAACGTTGCATTGTTCCCTCAGAAAGAAAAGCAGTCACTTTGCAATGTGGTGGTACAGTCTTTCAGTAAACGGGAGAGAACAGAAAACTAATAATATAAAGGAAACACTATGAAGGAAAACGCGTCCATCTCCATGCAGATGGAAAACCCATTTTCCACCTGTGCATAGTTTGGAGACTGGGAGCTGCTGGTGCAGAGGATGAAGTGAGACCGGCGTGGCTGGAAAATCGTGTGGGGAAAGACGGCTCACGACTGAAGTTTGTCCGTCTGTTGTTGGGGCGGCGTGTCATCGAGCGGGTCGATCTGGGGGAACACCACAAAGCACACCTTCTGGCCCATGTAGGTGACCGATTCTGAAACAGAGGCAGGAAGAGAGGCTGCATTATAGCCCACGACAGCTGTGAGGACATTAGCTACCAGCATGAGACATTTTCTGTGACTTTGCTGCCCTCTAGTGTTGATGAAGTGGTGACATTTGGTCCATTCATCCATCTTCCAACCGGATAAACCGGATTCATGGAGCCTGGAGCCTCTCCCAGGAAGCACAGGGCAGAAGGCAGGGAAATACCTCGGAGGGGATGCCAGTCCATCGCAGGGAACACAATTTACAGACACCTGATTGGCTGACCACATGTTTCTGGAGTGCAAAGGTGAGAACCCGTGCAAACATGGGGAGGACATGCAAGGTCCACACACACACAGACGGGAATTCAACCCAAAACCATTCAGTCACCATATGGCCTTTTCATACACAGGAACCCATGAAGCAGTGATATAGGAAGACGAGCTCTGCGGATTTCCCTGATCAGAATGGGACACGATTAGCGCACAGCAGGTGGGCTGGCAGTACTGTCCAGCTAAGTGGCGTCTTCTGGTATCGATGCTGCAGCAGATCAGCTGTATGAAACCGAACGAAAAGCAGCCAGACTGGTCTCACCGACAACGCGGTAGATCCACTTTGGCTTGTCCTTCCAGTAGACCCCCAGGAAGTAGACGGGAACTCCAGTGAGCATGATGACCAGGCCAATGCCGCACACCACGGGCTCCGAGTGCAGACTGAAGCCCAACAGGAACGCCCAGAACAAGAGGTAGCTAATGGGGACCAGGAGGTTCACCTAAAGGGAAGAGGAAGGGGACGGCTTGAGAAGGTGATGGAGGGAGCGAGGGGGCTCTGATGCGGGGTAGGACTCACCCTAATGGGCCGGTGCAGTGTGGGGTTTTTCCAGCGGTAGTACAGCAGCCCGGCGATGGTGACCCCATAGGAGAGGTAGTTGATGAAGGACACGTAGTTGATCAGGTTGTGTGTCTCTCCGATGCACAGGATTATGATGGTGGCTGAACACTGCCGATGGG